TATATATATATATATATATATATATTGGAGTAAGATTAAAATATATAAAATAATATAAAATATATAAAATATATAAAATTTTTCGAAAATTTCGAAAATTAGATTCAAATTTTAGACATAGTCGATAAAATAATAAAATTAACTGATATATATATATATATATATATATATATATATATATATATATCAACCAGTCTGCTTTAATTTACGCATACTGTACCTAGTGGAAGACATCCAAAGTTGTTCCATGTGGATAATCCAAGGTTGTTTTGCTCGAGTAATAAGATCATGTTTGTGATAAATAACAAAGTGACGTGATATACGCAACGTATAGCCGTGGATAGTTTGGTGCATCGGCAACATCGAGTATACCATCATAGTTAGAAACAAAAAAAAAGGATACCAGAAGACACGTGTCATCCGATTCATAATCTCCACTTCCGGGTAACTTAAAACATGTTGGATATAAAAAATGCGATACAGGCATTTTATCGCCTCTTAATCTGTCTTTTTTTGTTGCGTCAAATTCACAAAATAAATTTGGTTGTTCTTTTGTGCTCTCTTCTAAAACAAATGTTTCTTGTGGTATTATTGGAATTAGAGAAACAAACTCGATTCTGCAACGGTTTTGTTTGAAAAATAGTCTATTTTTTGTGTACCTATGTATGCGAATGTATGTTAAAAAGATTGATGACTTCGATAAGAAGGTATCTCTCGACAAGTTGATGTCCTTGGTTGACCATACAACATGATGACAATGCAATGGAAGAAACCTTAAATTCTGACACGTTTTCTTTAAGATATGTTATACATAAAATATAAAAAACAATTTATAAAAAGACAATATAGGATACAGGAAACCATAACGATTAATCAATTATAAGCAAAAAACGGAAGTTTTATACATACAGAGATTAATTCCACGAATTAATAGTCCCATTTCAAAATAACACAATCCTCTTTACTTTTAATGTAACAAATTTATTATAAGAAGAAATCCTGCAGACGTGCATTACAATTAATATACGTTACAACGCGAGGTGAATTCAACGCGCGTACAAAACTTGCTTAATGCTGTTCTTTTTTGCGTAGAATAGTATGATATTATTACATGTATATTATATTTGTAATTTTTCAGTCCGATTAGAAAATATTAATAATAATTCAATCAAAAATTAAGATAATCTTTCAAATTTTAATTATTGTAAAATTTTCGTATTCTTATCATCTTTATATCCTTTAGAACAGGAACATTTTCATTCTGCATATATGTATACGGTATTGAAATAAAATAAAAATAAGATAGATGAGAAATATTAAGAGTACTAAAAAAAAAACACATTTAGAATAAAAAGATTTGAAATATTCCTCGTTCTAAATAACATTCGTTAATTTTACAAAATAATCCTCGATAAAAAAAATGTTAAAACGGAATTCGAATCTTCCAAATCAAAAATTAATCGTCTATATAAAAGTACAGAATTATGTAAACAAAGAATATTAAATATTAATTACAGAAAATTTGCAAGTTAAGAATTAAACTGATTGTAAACAAATAAGTTAAAATATCTCTCTCTCTATCTCTCTTTCTCTCTTGCATTTTATATAATGCCGTGCTTGAATTATAATCATCTCAATTAATGTGTAGTCTTCTAGCTTAAGTTCCGGTATGTAAATTTTCTTGAAAGTTTCTTGACTATTCGTCCCTGATGTTATTTTATATTTATGACTTCAACATTCCATTAATTCTTTTCTGGCATATAAAAAGAATTGTATGGTTCGATTATTTAATTATTTTGTTTTTATCTTAACCGGTTTGCATTGAATAAGCAAATTCGTAAAAAAATATTCTTTTATTTTTATACTAGTTTGCTAATTAAAATACACACACATACATGTAAGTCACAAGATTTTAGTCACTTTGAAGTATTAATAATAAAAACAACTAACAATTCTTTAAACAATAAAAAATAATTTAAAAATTTTAAATTGTTAATATAATGTTATTATAATATAAATGTTATTTAATGTTAAATATTATTTAATGAAAACGATAAATGTTATTTAATGAAAAAAATAAAAATAATATAAATGAACTTTGTTTAGTAAAATTTTGTAAAAAAAATTTATATTTGATCAATTGTCATCGATTCTGAGTTTTTGATGCAGGAACATAATACAATTAAACGTTTATCAGAGAAAACGTTTGTTTATCGCGCTTTTTTTCCAACAATGTTATTAAAATGTAAGGAAATGTAAATCAAATAAGGACACTGTTATTTATAATATACGTTATTTATAATTTATAATATACTGTTATTTATAATAAATACGATTAATATTATTAGAGAGAGATAAGATAGATAGGATAATATAGTCAACACTCTGTTCGATTCCGCGATTCACTTTTCGGCAAATAAAGAACGCGCGAATGTGCTCAAGTAAGCAACGAAACACCACTACTACTTAGTACAGTAGACGAATTGTTAAAAAATAGCAATATTTCTTACTGAGAATTTATGCATTCATGATGATTCGCAAAAAGAATTATCGATAGGCTCTTCAAAACAGTATAATTCACAAACAACATATATGTATCTTACGTACTATTTATAACCTATTATCAATATAATTTTTAATACTATTGTTAAATCCTTTCCAAACTTCATGAATTTATTTATAAGATAACGAATGGAGAAGGAGAAAGTATGTAAAGTTGCGAGTTAAGGTACTCTATCTCGCAGATACATAAATAGGGACGTTTACTGCGAATCGAACGCAATCTTTATGGCTCACGAATATGAATCAACGTCCTAAAAGAAAGCTGTAATGCCTTTTCCTGTAAGCAGTGCGATCATCGGTACTATTTTCAGATCAAGGAATCTTTATAAGTATGAATCACGTGCGATCTCTATCATAATGTCTATGTGTGATCGAATCACTATGTGATTCGTAAGTGTCGGTCCAAAATGAGGATTTTAAGTCCTAAACAGTAAGAAATAAACCAATCGTAGTCGATGAGAAGAATAATCGATTGTAATTAGTCAATATCTTACGGCGTAAGGCCTAAAATCCTAAAATCCGGGGTATAAAATCCTCATTGACCGACACTTATAGAAGTTCCGTAAAAGACTGAACTACTATCAGTGAGTTATAGCTCTCGGGCTCGGTTGAACTTGGCAGGTGAATGTTGATAGTATCACTTGCGTAATAAAAGTCATGCATAATTTTTAACAATAATAACAATTTGAATCGGAGGGAATGTCTTTGCGCACTAATAGAAGCGGTCGAAAAATGGATCGAGTCCTGCGATATTGCAGTTTATAAGAGCCTTTTAAAGAGTGAACTTCATTGGGATGTATCAAGTTTACGAGTTAAAGTTTGGTAGAATTTTTTCATTTATGGTGCAAATTTTAATTACTCAAACACTTATTAGAGAATTTAAACGTGAAATCAGCTGTGTCCGATATTATAAAGTTTTTACTTTTACGATATTTATTTTGATGAATAACTTTTATACCGCTTATACTATAAATGTTAATTTTATGGTTACTTATTAAAATTAATGGAACCGACTGAGATTCGAGAACTCAGAATCCTTTGTTCTCCTTCCTAGCACACTGCGAATAACGCGCGCTGCACTACTTTCATAACCAGTCCAGCCTTCTAACAATACCTAATCTCTCTTACAGCCTTATGTATCTTACAGATCTATCATTCCTTCCGGAATAACTCACAAAAAAAATAATATTTATCGTACGCTTTTCTATTTCCATCAGCGATTTCTTTTATATTAAAAAAATTGTAGAAAGTAGTTTCCGGACCATATCATTGGATCTACATGCAGACGTGAGATATATGAGACATATTCTCATTGTCTCTCGGGATTTTAAACATTAATTTACTCTAAGATATTTTCTACTTCAGCCTAATATATTTTGACATATTTTTTGTGTAACATTTATTTCTAGTTATTTTTTATATCTTTTAATGCATGCTCGGTTATAGTTATGATAAAAGGATTAAAAAGAAATTACAATTTGGTTAGTAATTAAAAGTACTTATAATTAGAAATATATCAATCGAGTATTTTAATTAAAAAATCTATTTCTTACTAATTATAATCCTTCAAGATTACTATATAAGAAAATATTCACAAAAGCTATGATACGCGATGTTTAAAAGAAAATAATAAAAAATTTCATACAAGTTTGATTTTATGTAAATTCAACATTCCAATATAGTTGTATATATGTTGTATATATAGTTGTATATATGTATAAAACTATAATGTTATAAAATAACGTAGATACGAAAAGTTATAGAAAATTGCTCTTAAAATTTTTTTAATATTATATATAAAATATATCAACAGTAATTAACATATATCTAATATAACGTAGCAATTTATAATAATTACGTGTAAACCGCAGGACTTTTATGGAATATTCCACAAATATCTAACAATAAGTAATCTCTACAAATAAGTGTCAGGAGATAATATCTTGTCCAGAGAATTAAATTATGATTATGCTAATTAACAACTAATTTAACCACAATAAAATTCTGTTTTCATGTCGTATTGGACTCCGCGTGATGATTAGTCGGCTGGCTAATAGAAGGACTAATATTTTTCATGTGCACTGATCCCGGTAACGGTACAGAGATGGAGGACATATTTGAGGACGATCCATTCTGGTTGCTAGATGAATTATCCCTAAACTGACCGCGGTTCTTCCAACCGAATCGTTTCAGCAACAATCGCAAGATTCTCTTTCTGCATACGTATATGATGAAAATGATGACGCTTCGCGAGATGCTTATCATGAAGCTGATATTCCAGATTATCTCCGGTATGGTATAAGAGCCATGGATAAACCACAATATTACATCCGTACTCCAGCTTACTCCCATCACCACAAACAGCTTCAGGTACATTCCAAACCTGTGAGCAAATATATTTCTGTATTCTGTATTCTGTGATTACGAACATTATTGTGAATAAGACACATATAGTTTCTTCCAGAAGTATCAAGAAATATATTTATGAAAATTAATACTCTTGATTATTTTTAACAAAAATAATATATAGTTTTAAGCAAATCAGTCTTTAAAGATAAAAAGCTAAAAATAATAAGCTCTTAGTCACAGAGAATTTCAAAATTTTTTAAGAAATATTTAAAAAATCCACCTTTTAATACAATAAATAAAAAGGAGTCAACGGCCAAAGACGAGCAAATTCACAGGTGTTAAATAATTTATTAATCAATTTTCTAACATTTTTCTAAAATTAAAAATACAAAACACGAGACTATAGTTTCAATCCTTATTTGAATTTTCTCAATCGCATTAATAATTTAATCTTTAAATCCTACGCATTTCATGATATCGCATTCACTATAACTGTGATGTACAATGAAGTAATAAAACATAAATAACTGAGTCGTATAAATAATCGGATAAAACATAATAATAAATAATGATTAATAAATAATAAAACGAAATTGCCGAAAACGGAGCCATGTGTGTAAAGTGGAGGTCTCAACGATATGGGAGCAAGCAGCACCTCTTGTAATGTACATCGTATAGCAGTTCTTAGGAATCTTAAAGTGGTTACATCTGTTGTTCCGCAAATTGATTAGAAAAATTATTACGTCAAGTATATTAAGAGTCTCATGTCCAGTTCTAACGATCACACAATGTACGCAAGTCGGTGTCAAGTAACGAAATATTGAAACTAGTTTCGTTTTGTGTTTCTATGTTAAAAAATTGATTAATAATTTATTTAACATCTGTGAATTTGCTCGTCTTTGGCCATTGACCTTTTTATTTATTGCATTACAATAACGAGCCGAATTTTGTTTTGTTGCAATTTTTAACTCATAAATCATAAGAGTAAATTAAGATATAAGACTCTCTAAAAGCAAATATTTTGTTAAAAGTGAAAACACCGAAAACCAATTGTCATTACGCAAAGCAATTCGTAAATACGTCAGACGGCTGTGTCATATACTGTACTTGACAACAACTTATTCTCTCTGTTATGAAAAATTATATGAAAAATTATTTGTGAATTTTATATCAGCAGCTATATTACTTTTATTACCTTGACTATATTATATTTGGACAATTTAAAAAGTTATCATAGTCTTTATCAACCGATTTTTCACTACGTTGAGATTTTTTATGCTGGATAAAGAGACCGTATACGAGAATATTTAATTTGTACATTACGGCATCGGTTTCTCACGTATTATTTTATAACTACTTTTTATTATTTTTTAATACTTTTTATTATATTTGGACTATTTTATAGACTATTATATTTGGACAATTTAAAAAGTTATCATAGTCTTTATCAACCGATTTTTCACTACGTTGGGATTTTTTATGCTGGATAAAGAGACCGTATATGAAAATACTTAATTTGTACATTACGGCATCGGTTTCTCACGTATTATTTTATAACTACTTTTTATTATTTTTTAATAGTTTTTACTGTTTTATACTGACTATGTACGACCTCTGTTCTTTGCATATTAATTTACTAATTTATAATACTGAAGTAAACTAACAATAAGTGAAGTTGAACCATGTACCGCGTTATAAGACTATTTTTGATCAATTTATAGTATTATAATATTAATATTTTTACTTATAGTTCGGCTGCTTTGTTTTATGTAAAAACGTAAAGTATTGATATAATCATGCAATTTATATTATTAGTGAATGCACTTGATAACATAAAAATTTTTGAGTACAGATACTAACTTGCGTTTGTTTTTATTATAGCGCCGGCTCTGCGAGTCTTTCAGCTGATGGGCAGTATGTTTATTATGATACAGAATCGTTACTGCCGTGATGATGAAGAAGTAAATGTTGATAATAAAAGTAACACCCGTGGGTCCATAATAAAACAACGTAAATCCATCAGACCCTAAAACGGAAAACGAGAGTTTTTTTGCATTATACGCCAAAGTAAGTTGTTAATTAAAGTTGCAATCAAAACTTCAGTAAATGTTACACTAGCGCTAATTGAGATTCCACTGTCACTTACGACTGAACCAAAATTTCTTCTTGCACATTTCCGGTTGAATCCAGTTTTCCGGTATGCCGGGAGCATCCATGATGGCACAAGCAGCGGTGAGAAGGAGGGTGATACCCCACGCATAAATAGAGTACAATATAAATCTCTTTTTCTTTTTGCCTTTGTCTAGATGGTGCAAATTGAGTTTTCTGCAAAATGCAATTCATGTTTAGCCAACAATAAGTAAATTATCAATATATGCAAAGTATTTGCAAATAAAAATCTTGACAACGTCTTGTAAACTAATAATTATTTAGATTTATTACACACATGTATTATAAATAGTTATTATAAGTAGTATAATAAATTCGATGACCTAGTAGCACAATTTATTCGCTCAATATCTCTACCGGAACCCATTACATTCCCAAAGCATAACAATAATGTTTAATCAATGCATTGTTAATGAATAATGCCTCTAGGGCAATTTCCATACACGATCAAAATATTTTAAAAGGAAGAAGAGATTTTTTTCTATCCAACCCAATCTTATAATCGAATATTTTATTCTAGGCCGTTTAAAAAATAAAACATTATTAAAATTATTATCCACATTACTTACCTGAATGTCCACCAAATGTCAAAAGATGCTACGTTTAGCCAAAAATTTCCCGACAATATCGTGAAATTAAAAATGTAAGCTAGAACAGATGTTACATAAATTGTCAAACATGAATTAGAATAAATAGATAAAATTTGTAGTTATTATTATGTCTCTTGATGAGATTTTCTCGAGCTTTCTGCATTATATATTTGTGACAAAAAAGATGAATTTAATAAATAGTATAGCTCATGTTGAATTCAATAATGTTTCAGTGTAACAAAGAATAACCAAAAAATTATTTATACAAAATTGAATTAAATATACACATATGTGTGTATATTTAAAGATAATATTTAAAGGATAAACTTCCAAAAACGTCATACCTCCGATTTCGATCTTTATTTTGGACTAAAATAAAAGTCCTTAAAGTGATTTTTGCGACTCCTATGAAAAAGCCATTTTTTAAATGAAATGATAAAAATGTAATAAATAAGCCGATAAAAAAAGACCGCCCCGATGATCTTTATCTTGACATATATTATCAAGGTCGTAACCTTGAACAACATTCCAAAGGTTTAAGTCGTCACTCGGTATTTATTAAAAAGTTATTAACAAAATAATTTTTGAAAATATCAGCTTAAAGTTCTACACAAAAACCCTTGTGGAACGGTATAATTATAGCCTTGTTTCGCCCCCTACAAAGGCAGGGGAGGGGTGTCTAGTGGTCTTCGCTTTGAAAAGTCGAAAATTCATTTGGAATAGTACGATTGTAGATCTCGTCACGTCTCATAAGCAGAGGGATGTGTATAAGAATATATAACTTTATTAAAGAATATTTGCAGGTATTAAACTTTGCGCTAAAAATTCATTAAGGGGCATTCATTTGACATCATTTCGAATATTACTGCCAAAATTCAATGGCAATTAAACGTGTGACGTTACCGGAAGTTTAGCCGATTTAAATATTATCTAAATATTATTTATGCTTTAAAAAATTTAATAATTTTCCTATTGCAAAAATCAGAAAGAAATAAATGGGATATGTCTAATGCAGAAGTTCTACATGTAAGTTACATCACTACATTATTGTATAATTTACACATTCCGTACCCAGTGGAATGCAGTATTCCCATTCGGATAATTCAGGGCTTTTATGGACGCAATATATGGTCATGTTTGTGATGAACAACGAAGCGACCTGTACACGTAATATGTAGCTCTGCATGTTTCGGAGTTGCGGAAGTATAGTATATATCACGAACGTCAGCACCAAAAGCGGGAAAGTCACGACGAAGTACACGGACATGTATACCGGAAATTCCATCGAAATCATGCAGGCAACTGCATCATAAGTGTCCCGCTCCCGCACGGCAAGGCAGTAAGACGTCGATGGTATGAGCTCGTTAGGATTCAGGTACAAAGAACCGTTGGCGAAAAACGCGTACTCATCGGGATCAAGAATGCGGTGTGCCCTTCTCTGCTGAACGCACGGATCGCGGACGGTCAGTCGAAATAGTTCGTCCAATTTCTTATTCTCGGAATTGTTCTGGACGCCTGGAAAAGCGTAATTATCCTGCCCTGGCACGCACTTCCTCCCTGACGTTAGACGCTCGCCAAAAGGACAGCAGAGCTGAATGCAAGTGTCGTCGCCGCACGCATCAGATGAAAAAATGATGATCGTATCATTATCTTTATCGGAATGTAATTTGTATGCGAAACTGTTGTGAAATTCTTGCAACGTCGAGTCGTCCTCGCTACTGACCTTTCCAGAAATCACGCGGGGCTCCATAAATTTCTTTTTATTATTCTCTTCGCGAATCTTCATGACGTGTCCGCGAGACTCGTACCGCACCAAATCCATGTGATCGTTATTCGTAGATTGATGGGGTTTGTAGTACGTGTCGTCATCATTCTCGGTCGAACTTTCGTGCAAATTGTACGGTATGAACTGTATCTTATTGTCATCTCGATTTTTCAAAGAGATTTCAAAAAGATCATATCGCACCGTTGTCGAGTCGTCGCCTCCCTGCTCGTCGCCGTTCGTAGAAATTCCCCGAGACTCCGAGGACGAAGCAACAAACAGAAGCGCGTAGCAACAAAGTACGATACTCGATGGACACATCGTTAAACTACTGACGCATCGAATTCACAAGACGAACTTGACAGCTCTTCATGCCTTGTAGACAAATGTGTTGTGTCCAATCGTCAATTAACGAGCTTAATTCTGTAACGGAAATGAGCTTAATTACTGCAATAGAAACGAGGTTGATTCTGCAATGTTTTGCCTGAAAAGCAAAGAATGAGTCTGCTCTTGGAATAAGCACGCAAATGCATTTCAGAAAGACTAATGATATCGAAGGTTTCTCGATGAGATAGGAGAGACTTTATCTCTTTGAATCCCGGCAACAAAATTTCCTTAGGATGTAGGTACGTAAAATGTAAAACAAATGTTTTATATATAAAACAATATTTTATATATAAAAGAGAAAAGAAAAACAATCGAAAATAAGAAATTAATATTATTGAGTGATTAATTAAGCAAAGGACGTAAGTTCTATATTTACAGAGATTAGTTTCATCAGATTAGTAACTTCTAAATAACGCAATTCTCTTCATAATATAGTAACTATTATACTAAGAAGCCGCGGATATGCATTATAAATTCAGAGATTGAAAATAACTATCTTATCCTTATTCTATTCTCGTTATTGTAATGCCATTACCATTACAGAGTTACTGTTTTTGGTAACGGACTGATAATTGATACTTTTTTTATGACTGTAACGCTCAAATAGCAAGATGCCGTCTTAATAATGTTTTAATGACGTGTTTAACGTTATTGAGACGTCATTTAACATTACCTTGTTACTTAGGCGGCAATGTGATTATCTTTTAATAACAATATATAAGGAGTTATTTTTATCGTTATTTTTTTGTACTTTGAACCTATTTATAACATAATTCTCAATCTTCAGTCATAGTCTGTAACAGTTTTGTTTGTAAAGTAAAAAACGAATTTTTATGCTTTTGATATAAGCATGTAAATGCATGTTACGAAAGTTGATGGCATCGATAAGAAAGTCCAACAAGTTAGAATCCTCGGTTGAATATGGATGATGGCAGTGTATTAGGAAGAGGCTTTAATCTCATTGACTCCTGACGCCAACACATTCGTTTTAGAATACATTATACATTAAATATAAAACTATTTATAAAAAACGATATAGAAAGCCTATAACTAATCGACCATAAGCAAAGTTTTATAAATATATAGACATTAATTCCATCTGCAATTAATATTCAATTCTAGAATAACGCAGTCTGCTTATAATATAGTAACAGATATAATAATCGTTTATATAAAGGAATCACGTCATTCTTTGGATACATTACGATCATGTACACCGCAGGATGTCTGTTCTTGCAGTATCGGATCGGTTATCGTGCAACAGTAAGACAGACAAGGTTTTCGTACGGCCCACATTGAGCTAAACTGATTCCTTTTATATTAGGAATAACAATTTTAACCGTAAACGACATAATAACCAAGAACGACGCAGAATGAATTCAACGCGCATAAGACTTGTTTAACATTGTTCTTTGTGCGAAACAGCATATTACATGTACACTTGCAACTTCTCACTCTGATTATAGAATGTTAATGATAATTCAATCAAATACTTAAAATAATTTTTCATCTTTTCAGCTAAGAATTACGATGAAACTTCCGCGTTCTTAGCTATTCTTTGTATTCTTCAGAATATTTTTATTCTGCTTTGGAATATATGCTATTGGAATAGAATAAGAATAAAATAGATAAGTAAAGAACGTGTAAAATTGATACTTATAAATATATTATCAAAAAATATATAGTATATGAAAAATCTGAAAAAAAGGATTTATAGTGCTAAGGAGTTTGTCTAGTATTGATATTAAGAATAAAAGAATATAAAACCCAGTGAAAAATGATTACCAATTCGATATCGAATCGATGATGATACGGTGATTTAGACGTCAATTTGACGTCGATTCGACATCGAATTGATAATCATTTCTCGCAGGGAATTCCCGCTTGAATGTAACATTCGTTAATGCAAGGTCAACATCGTAAATTATGAGCACAACTGTTTTGCCTTTCACACAGTCGTTTCTAGGAGGAAACTGTCCGATAAGCAGTGCGAATTTATCAAGGTCGTTATTATCGATTATAATCAAATTAATAGTCTATATAAAGATACAGAATTACGTAAGCAGAGAGCGTCAAATTACACGGAAAATTAGTTGCGAATTAAACGGGTTGTAAATAGACATGTTAGAGTTAACTCTTAAGATCAGATTGCTGTTTGCTAATGTCATTTCACTGTTCTTTGGTAACTATGCCGCGCTGTTCCTGTCTTTAAAAGTGAACACGCGAGAAGGACGCAGACGTATACTGCGTAGCACACGCAGAGAAGGATTAGTCAGCGTAGCTAAAATATGGCCGTAGCAGCTAAAATATGTCTTTAAAATAGGGAGAGCTAATATTGTTACTGTCAATTAAGCTCAATTTATTAGTCGTTAAAATTTAGGCGCCACAGCAAAAAAATATTTGTTGCTAAAATCAAATGACGTTTAGCTAATTGAGGATATATTGAGAAATGTCCAGCAAAACTGTTTTATCTTTTAGCAAAATTATTTTTTTCGTATGCCACTTTTTCAGCTGCTTCTGTTAAAATACGCTTTTATTTTAACTAATAAAATTATATCTCGCAACAAATATATTTTATCTTCACACAGAAAGAACGATTTCGTTGAAAGATCTAAAAATATTGCTAAAAACAGATCTGAAAATAATTTTTTGTTGAATCATCAAAATAATTTGTTGGGATGTTAAAACTGATAAACATTGCTATAAAACGTTTTGATATTCTAGCAATCACTTTGACTTTCGCACAGAATTATTTTAATTATTGAACAAAAATTATTTTCATATCTGGACTCAGCAAAATTGTTCTTTCCGTGGAATAACCAACTTTTAGCAATGACAGAAAAGTTCGAATTAGTTACTGATATTTAGCTGATAATACTAATTGTAAGTCATTTCGTGCACATGTACGCATTCGCGCATATGTGTATGTGTGATTTTACATGTTTTTAGTATAGACTTGTAACTTATGTATATATAGGGTGTCCCAGATTTCTTAATTAATATTTTGAGGAGTGAAAGAGAGTGAAATTTTTAACTAAAAGTTCCTTTTCCAATTTTGGTTCAGACCATTATTTACAGATTATTAACGAATAAAGTTGATCAATCAGATTATGCCCAGCAAGAATACGCAGAAGCGTAGCATGTCATGGAGCTCCTCGCACTTACTGTACACTCGTGGACAATGAGGTTGCGACACTTTTTTTAGTGAATTTACAAACGCGTGGTTTTTAACATTCTAATAATGTTTCTCAAATAATATTGAATAAATGATATAATTTGATGTTATCAGTATCATTTGGTACAATATTATTTTAATTATATATAACAT